TATAACTCAAAAAGTTACATGCACCCCAATGTTCACTGCAGCACTATTTACAATAGCCAAGACATGGAAGCAACCTAAATGTCCATCGACAGAAGAATGGATAAAGAAGATGTGGTATATATATACAATGGAATATTACTCGCCATAAAAAAGAATCAGATAATGCCATTTGCAGCAACATAGATGGACCTGGAGATTATAATACTAAGTGAAGTAAGCCAGACAAAGACAAATATCATATGATATCACTTATATGTGGAATCTAAAAAAAGACACAGGGAGTTCCCTGGTGGCCTAGTGGTTAGGATTCAGTGCTTTCACTGCCGTGGCCTGGGTTCAATCCCTGGTGGGGGAACTGAGATCCTGCAAGCCTGGTGGTGCAGCCAAAAAACAAAAACAGACAGATACAAATGAACTTATTTACAAAACAGAAACAGACTCACAGACACATAAAACAAACTTATGGTTACTTATGGTTACCTCCCCTTTACCAAAGGGGAAAGGGGGAAGGGATAAATTAGGAGTTTGGGATTAACATATACACACTACTATCTACATAAAATAGATAACCAACAAGGACCTACTGTATAGCACAGGGAACTATACTCAATATTTTGTAATAACCTATAAGGGAAAAGAATCTAAAAAATTATATATATATATATATATATATATATACCTGAATCACTGTGCTGTACACTGAAACTAATACAACATTTTAAATCAACTATACTTCAATTAAAAAAATAAAACTAAATAAATAAATTTAGGGAAAAAAACCCAGTATGGTACTGGCATAAAAACAGACACAAACAACAACAGAACAGAATAAAGAGCCCAGGGATAAACCCATGCATATATGGTCAATTAATTTATGACAAAGGATCCAAGAATATACAATGGGAAAAGGACAATATCTCCAAAAAAATAGTGTTGGGAAAACTGGACAGCTACATGTAAAAAATGAAACTGGATTACTATCTTACACCATATAAAAAATTAACTCAAAATGAATTAAAGAGTTGAATGTAAGACCTGAAACCATAAAACTCATAGAAATCATGGGCAGTAAGTTCCTTGACATCAGTCTTAGCAATGATTTTTTTGGATCTGACTCCAAAAGCAAAGGCAATAAAAGCAAAAATAAACAAGTGGGACTACATCAAACTAAAATGGTTCTGCACAGCAAAGGAAACCATCAACAAAATGAAAAGGTAACCTACTGAATGGGAGAAAATATTTGCAAATTATATATCTGACAAGGGGTTAATATCCAAAATATATAAAGAACTCATACAGCTCAATAGCAAAAAACAATCCAATTTAAAAATGGACAGAGGATCTGAATAGACATTTCTCCAAAGAAGACATAGCAATGGCCAATAGGTACATGAAAAGATGCTCAACATCACTAATCATCAGTGAAATGTGAATCAAAACCACAGTGAGCTATCACCTCACACCTGTTAGAATGCCTATTATCAAAAGGATGACAAGTAACAATTGTTGGTGAGGATATAGAGAAAAAAGAATCCTTGTGCACTGTTGGTGAGAATGCAAATTGGTGCAGCCATTATGGAAAACAGTATGGAAGTTCCTCAAAAAATTAAAAATAGAACTACCATATGATCCAGCAATTCTACTTCTGAGTATTTATCTGAAGAAAATGAAAATACTAACTTGAAAAGATATGTGCACTCCCATGTTCATTGCAGCATTATTTACAATAGGCAAGATATGGAAGCAACCTAAGTGTCCATCCAATGGATGAACGGATAAAGAAAATGTGAGATAGATATAAATATAGATATAGATATACACACATACACAATGGAATATTATTCAGCCATGAGTAAGAAAGACATCCTGCTGTTTACAACAACCTGGATGGACCCTGAGGACATTAGGCTAAGTGAAATAAATCAGACAGAGAAAGACAAATAGTGTATGATCTCACTTATATGTGGAATCTAAAACAAAACAAAACAAACAAAAAACCAAACTCATAGATATAGAGAACAGATTGGCGGTTGCCAGAGGTGAGAGGAGAGGGTAAAATGGGTGAAGGGAGTCAAAAGGTACAAACTTCCAGTTAAAAAGTAAATAAGTCATGGGGATGTAATGTACAGGCATGGTGACTATAGTTAATAATATTATATTGGATATCTGAAAGCTGCTAAGAGAGTAAATCTTAAAAGTTCTCATCACAAGAAAAAAAAATTCTGTAACTATGTATGGTGATGGATGTCAACTAGACTTATCATGGTGATCATTTAACAATACATACAAATATCGAATCACTATGTTGTATATCTGAAACTAATATAATATTGTAAGTCAATTATACCTCAATTTAAAAATAAATAAATAAATGAAAGTATGGTATTGGTAAAAATAGACAAATTTATCAATGCAACAAATAGAGAGCCAGAAAATAGACCCACACAAATAGAGACAACTGATTTTTGACAAAGGAACAAAAGCGATTCAATGGAGAAAGGACAGCCTTTTCAATAAATGGTGTTGAAACAATTTGCTATCCATATGCAAAAAGAAAATATCTAGACACAGTCCTGACAACTTTCACAAAAATTAACTCTAAATGGATCTTAGACTTATAGGCAAAATGCAAAAATATAAAACTTCTGCAAATAGGGAGTTCCCTGGTGGCCTAGTGGTTAGGATTCCAGACTTTCACTACTATGGCCCAGGTTCAATCCTTGGTCAGGGAACTGAAATCCCACAAGCTGCATGACGCAGCCAAAAAAAAAGAAAGAAAGAAAGAAAACTTCTGCAAATAACAGGAGAAAATCTAAGTGACTTTGGGTTTGGCAGTGTTTTAAAATATAACACCAAAATTACGTTACATGAAAGAAAAACTGACAAGTTGGACTTTATTAAAATTTTAAAATTCTGCTCTGTGAAAGACACTGTTAAGAGAATAAAGAGACAAGCCCAGAACAGGAGAAAATACTTGCACGACACATAACTGATAAAATGACTTGTGTTTAAAAATATACAAAGAGGGACTTCCCCCGTGGTCCAGTGGTTAAGAATCCATCTTGCAATTCGGGGCACGCCAGTTTGATCCCTGGTCAGGGAACTAAGATCCCACATGCTGCAGGGCAACTAAGCCCACGTGCTGCAACTACTGAGCCCACGCACTCTGGAGCCAGTGTGCCACAACTACAGAGCCCATGCACTCTGGAGCCCACACACCACAACTAGAGGGAAGCCCGTGCACCCCAACAGAGAACCCACGCACTGCAAGGAAAGATCCCGCGTGCCGCAACTAAGACCCACCCAACACAGCCAATAAATAAATAAATAAATAAATAAATAATATTTTTAAAAAAATTTTTAAATAGTAAAATAAAATATACAAAGAACTCTTAAAAATCAACAATAAGAAAACAAACAACCCCATTACAAAATGGGCAAAAGATCTGAATAGACACTTGACCAAAGAAAATATACGGATGGGAAATAAGCATGTAAAACCATGTCCAACATCATTTTTCATTATGGAATTTCAAATTAAAACAATAAGATACCACTACACACTTATTAGAATGGTTAAAATCCAAAAAACTGACAGTATTAAATCCTGACAAAGATGTGAAGCAACAAGAATGTTTGTTCATTGCTGGTGAGAATGAAAATGATGAAAAACTGTGGAAGACAGTTTGGTAGTTTCTTACAAAGTCTTACCATGTGACCCACAATTGCACTCCTAGTCATTTACCCAAATGAATGGAAAACTTATGTCTACACCATAACCTGTACATATATGTTTATAGCAGCTTTATTCATAATCACCCCACACTGGAAACAACCAAGGTGTCCTTCAATAGGTGAATGGATAAGCAACCTGTGGTACATCCATACAATGGAATATTATTCAGTGATAAAAATAAATGAGCTATCAAGCCATGAAAACACATGGAGGAAACTTAAATGCAAATTGCTGAGTTAAAGAAGCCAATCTGAAAAGGCCACAGACTGTATGATTCCAACTATATGACATTTTAGAAACGGCAAAGCTATAGAGACAGTAAAAGAGTGTGGTTGCCAGAGTTTCAGGCAGGGGGAGAGGAAAGATGAATGAATAGCTAAAGCACAGATGAAACTGTTCTGTATGAACTGTAATGGTGGATATATGTCATTATGTATTTGTCAAAACACATAGAATGTGTAACACAAAGAGTGAACCTTACTGTAAACTGTTGACTATAATTAATAATAATGTATCAATATTGGTTAATTGTAACAAATGTACCACACTAATACTACCATCTCAATTATTCTGTAAATCTAGAACTACTAAAAATTAGTAGGTCACTTAATTGTTTTAATGCTCTTAGCATACAATCCAGCAATTGCACTCACGTGCATTCCTTCGATACAAAAATCTTACACAATCACAGCATCCTTACTCATATCAGCCAAAAACTGGAAACAACCAAGATGTCCTTCAACTAGTGACTGGTTAAGCAAACTGTGGTAAATCCATACCATGGAATGCTATTCAGCAATAAAAAGGAACAAACTATTCATATATGCGACAATCTGGACGAATCTCCAGAGAATTATGCTGAGTAAAAAAAGCCAGTCCCAAAAGGTTACATACTGTATGATGCTACATATATAACACTCTTGAAATAACAAAATTATAGAACTGGAGCACAGATTATTGGTTGCCAGGGGTTAAGGAGGGAGAGGGGGAGGAGGGAAGTGGGTGTGACTATTAAAGGGCAATATGAGAGATCCTTGTGGTAAAGGAAATGTTCTGTATGTCAATATCCTGGTTGTGATACTGTATCAATACCAAGATTTTGCAAGATGCTATGATGGGGGAAACTGGGTAAACAGTACATCAGTACATTGCATTTGAATTTACAGTTATCTAAAAATCAAAATTGGTCTAAAAAATACAAATTTTTGTCTAAAAATTTTTTTAAAAATTAAAAAATGGGGAAAAGTAGGCTCCTCTTACTTACCTCAAATGATCTGCCAGGTTGTCCTGGAACCAGGGCAGGAAACCTCTGGGGTGATTTCCCATTAGCTGGCATGTTGACTCTGAGTACCAGCCCACCTTCCAAAGCTGGAGAGGCCTTTGTACGTGGGCTGCAGTCAGAATAAATGGAAGATCCTGCAGCCTCCAATATGCGGAAAGTTCAACAGCTCCACAGAGACACCAACAAATCCTAAAAGGACATATCCACGTCATCACTGTCATTCCACATTCGCCCCACAAAGTTCAGCAACTCCCACTCTGAGTATTAGTGAGGGTAGATTGTGGAAACAATCATGATATTTGGAGTCAAATTAATGAACTCAGAGTCCGTTACTCTTGGGTGGCTCCACAGAGGGTGCTTCACACTTTAGCCAACCAGCTCATACCTCAATTCCAGGTTCACGGCAGATCTGGGTTTGGGGAGAAGGTGAAAGTGAGGCAGTGAATGGTGCTGAAGCCCCATGGGGTAGGCAGGGGAAGGACTTGTCCATGGGGTCCTGGTGAGTGACTGTGGCGGCAAAAAACCTGGAAACCTGGTAATCTTAATGAAAGGGGTCTCTTCTGTCCACTTTAATTATTTCACCATTTTAGGGTGAAAAATCCCTCTTAAATTCTTCTGCGGAGAAGCTCTGAGCCTCTTCTTTCCAGAAGATGATTCAACATTAATAATATTGATTAAATCAACAAATTAGGGGGGTGGAGGAAACATGCTGGTTTTAACTTACACCAAAAAAGCATTTGACACAATTCAGCAGTCATTACTAATAAAAACTCAAACTAAAATTAGGGAGGAAGTAAATCACTTAAATATCACAAAAATCATTTACAAAACACATCCCTGAAATACTATGCTAAAAAGTAAAATGATGAAGCAACTGCCATTAAAATTAGTAAAAAGATAGGGATGTCTGATACAACTCAAAATTGTTTTTTCTGGCTCTAGATCACACAATAGAAGACGAAATAATCAGAATAAATATTGCAAAGAAATGAAAATGTAGCTTTCTTTGCCAGTGATATGATTTTATACATAGAAAACCTACCCCAGACTCTACCAGAAGTCATAGGGTAATTTGATAAGGGGCTGGATACAAGATAAAATTACAAGATCAGATAGTTTTTTCCCTGTATAATAATGACCAAATGAAAACGGGAAAAAAATCCGTTAGTAATGATAACAAGAAAAATATAAAATATGTAAAATAAACTCTTTAAGGAGCTGCACCTATAAATTTAAAAAGTTAAAAAAATTGACAAATATAAAATAGTCACACAAACATACCATATCCCTGGATAAAAAATTTAATTAAAATGTCAACTCTCCCAAAACATTATAGTAATGTAAAGAATAAATGAAAGAGAAAAATTAAACACAAAGCTCAATAATAAGATGGTGTATATAACATTTTGTGGAACGCAACTAAAGAGACTCTTAAAGGGAAATTCATGTTTTCAAATGCATTTTAACAAAGAAAGGCTGAACATTAATGAATTAACAACCAATTTAAGAAGTTAGATAAAAGAGAAAATAGCACAGATAGCAGGAATTAGGGAAAGAGAAAACAAAGGTACATCAGAGAGGATCAACAAAGCCAAAAGTTGGTTGTTTGGAAAGGCTAATAAAATTAGCAAATCTCTGGGGAGACTGAGGAAAAAATCTAAACGCACACACACTATTAGGACTTGACAACAAAATGCAGCAAGGAATCTAAAAACTGACTACCTCAGAAGCCTCCATCCCTCCCTGACCCGCATACACTCCCATTCACCAGACTTTTTAATTCCCCACCAACTGACCCCACAAACTGTCATTCCCAAAAGCCAACAAAGCCATCACCTCAAAATCACTGATGACTGTCACGCCACAAACCCTCGTGCACTCGCTTTAGTGCCGCGCGCCAACAAGACTTAAACAGCCTCTGAGGGCCACTTCCGTTTCCTGTCCTCACCTCTGAACCTGCCCCTTCTGGGGCTGTTAATTTCGCACACGATCACACAAGAGCTGTGTGACTGTGGTCTACTCACTCTGAACAAGGTGCAGTTATGGATCTGCAGAGACTTTGTCCATGAGCAGCGGTGCCGAGAGAGGAACATGGCTGCGCCGAGGCGTTCCACCATGAGGGCCGCCATCATAGCATCCATTCCGTACAGTGGGCTGTTCCATAGGCAAGGGGGGGGGGTGTCGTTCATGGGTAGAAACTTTCTGAAGACAAGCTTCCGGGAGAAGCTGGTCTTTGGAACCGAGTTCTATAGGTTTGTGCAAAGTTTACAGAAGCAGAGGTGCCAAACCCCAACCACGGGGGAAGGGGAGATGTGTCCCGATCTTCAAGGGAGATACCACTGGGAAGAGGGGGGAAAAGTCCCTCCTGGGCGATACCACTGTAGAAGATAGGGGAGGAGTCAAGGTGGTACAGTCTCGTTTTGACGGACTGTGGAACTGATATGGAGGGGTCTTTAATCCCCCTCAATCTCCATTACCCCACTGAAATGATAGTAGGTAAGAATAATAATACTAGCCTTTGATATGGACAACTAATGTTTTTCAGCAAATTATCAATAGAAAACTATTTAGAAAACATTTTAAGCACACTTTCGATGAAAATGCATCTCCAAGACATGCCCCCAACACCTGCTGTCAACCAGGTTAGCCTCTCTTATATGGAAATTCAGGAGCTGCTACTGACTCTTGGGAGAGAAGAGAATTCTGGGTGTTCTTCACCTCTGAACTCTTATACACAGTCTTTAAAACCTAGTCCTAGTATACCCTCCTGCAGGGAGCCTACTCTGACAAGAGGTAAAGAGCTCTTTTGCCTGCATAAGGTGTTTCCAACCCAGCAGGCAGACCCTGGCTAAGCTTGAGTATGGATTGCTGGGTACCCTGAGGACATTCATTCCCTTTCTCTGGACCTCAGCTCAACAATCTGGAGAGCTAGAATGTTAACCTCTCAGATTATCCCATTTTCTCTGTCTCCCCAGCAGTATTTATGAACTGGATGAAAGACAGAATGGCAAATATGAGAATATTGTTGTAACACACGCACCTCGACATAAATTGCCAAAACTTATTATTGTTGTGACTTCTGGTCAACCTCTCAAATCCTAGACCCTGTTTACTTCCATCATCAATGCCTCTCTGAGCTGATCTCAAACCTGAACCTTTCTTAACTCTACCAACACCTATGTTGCATTTTTCTGATCTGGCTTCATGTTCTTTATTAATGATTCAATCATCAATGTTCTTGTATTTTGACTTTTGAACATATTGCACTAAAATGTTATTGATTTTGATTACTGAGTTTTTCGGTGCCCCCTTAAATTTTGCACTTTGAAGGGAGTGTCTCTCTTGCCTTACCCTAGTCCCAGAAAACTTGTTCTCTAAAATCATAGACTATCAGAAACTTTGTTAATTGAAATTATGCCAGTAAGAATAAAACAGCCCACTCTTGCCTGGAGGATCCAAGTCACTTTGACACAGAGAAGCAGATTCGATTTCCAACCCAGGTTCAGAGCTTCAAATAAGGGGTATCTGAAGCAAACATGTCACATTTATTTTTTTAACTTTTTATTTTATATTGGAGTATAGTTGATTAACAATGTTGTGACAGTTTCAGGTGCACAGCAAAGGGACTCAGCCTTGCATGTACACATATCCGTTCTCCCCCAAACTACCCTCCCATCCAGGCTGCCACATAACATTGAGCAGAGTTCCCTGTGCTATACAGTAGGTCCTTGTTGGTTATCCATTTTACATATAGCAGTGTGTACATGCTGATCCCAAACTCCCTGACTATCCCTCCCCCCCATGCTTAGACTGAACGCTTATGCTTTTAAAAGTAAAATCAGAAGGCAAGGGTGTAGGGGAATAATTTTCCAATACTGCTCTTATAAACTCTTCTTTGAAATAAAGGAGGCTTTTACTATTCACAAGGTTATTTGTCAGTTGCAATTTTCCCCTGTATTCCCCCATTCAATCTCGGATGCCACAACCAGACAGAAAGCATAAGGACACTTTTTTCTTGCAACTGTAGTGGAAACCTTAGCAGACAGTATGTCACATCTTTTTTTAATTTAGCATTTCTAAATAAAAAGGACCCTGGATCCACCTCACAGTCCAGACTTGACATTGACTCTTTTACATACCAACCTACTTTGCTTTGGGCTAATCAGTACTCTGCTTCATTTAAATTTAACTGAACTCCACTCTTCCCCAACATCCTGTAGTACAGTAAGTCCCCTACATACAACCTTCAGGTTGCGAACTTTCGAAGATGTTGACGTGCGTTCACATGTCCAATCACGTAAATTAGCTCATATGTCTGGTGTACATTGTCATGTGTGTGCATCCTCTATAAGTGGTTGTGCTTTTATGTACTTTACAGTACCATACTGTATAGAATACAGTAGTACAGCATCTTTATTTCAAGGCCAGGATGTCCGGAAGCAAGTGTAAAAGCAGCGGTTATGTAGCTGGTACTGCTGAAGAACCGAAGAGATTCACGATGCAGGAAATGATAAGGGGATTTTCTTTATTTGAAGAGGGACTGTTAGTTTTTGAGGCACAGGACCCGAACGTAAAATGGTACACGAAGGTTGCAGCAGCCGTTCAGAATGCAATCCAGTGCTACCATGTCATCTATGATGAAAAAAGAGGCTAGATAGAATTGAATCCAGCAAGGAACCAGAATCTGTGCCATCACCGTCAGGCGTGAGTGAAATTGCAGCTTGCCTTCCGTCTCCTATTGCTGACGATCCTTCAGCTCTACCATCTCCCACCTCCTCTCCCTCCTCCAGTCAGTAACTCTTCTTCCCTGTTCACTTGATGCCAGCCCCTGGATGCCAGCTGTTGTACTGTATTACGGTACTTTTCAAGGTACTGTACTATAAGATTAAAAATGATTTCTTTATTTTTTGTATGTTTTTTTATGTATTATTTGTGTGAAAAGTATTATAAAGCGATTACAGTACTGTCCTATATAGCCAATTGTGTTAGTTGGGTACCTAGGCTAACTTTGTTGGGCTTACGAATAAATTGGACTTACAAACGCCCTCTCAGAACGGAACTTGTTCATATGTAGGGGACTTACCATAATCCTATTTCTTCCTTTGGTGAGACTAGGGTGATCAACCATACCTGTTTGCCCAGGACTGAGGGGTTTATTGGAACAAGGGAACTTCAGTGCTAAAATCAGGAAAGTCCCAGGCAAAACTAAAACAAGTTGGCCATCCTAAGTGAGCTCCTCCACAATTCCTACGGTGTGTGGTCTCCCTTGCTGCAGCAAGTTAAAACCCATTTCTGGGCTCCCCTGGTGGCGCAGTGGTTAAGAATCCACCGCCAATGCAGGGGACATAGGTTCGAGCCCAGGTCCGGGAAGATCCCACATGCCACGGAGCAACTAAACCCGTGTGCCACAACTACCGAGCCTGCCCTCTAGAGCCCGCAAGCCACAACTGCTGAGCCCGCGTGCCACAACTACTGAAACCTGTGAGCCTAGGGCCCGTGCTCCACAACAAGAGAAGCTACCGCAATGTGAAGCTCGCGCACTGCAATGAAGAGTAGCCCCTGCTTGCTGCAACTAGAGAAAGCCCACACGCAGCAACGAAGACCCAATGCAGCCAAAAATAAATAAATAAATAACTTGTTTTTAAAAAATCCATTTCTGTCCAACTATGGATGTGACCCTTGTGGTCTTTATCAGATGGACTTTATTAAGGTCATTAATGTTGGAAGGTTCACAGATGTCGAGTTTGAGATCAGTCCTAGTATTCATTGATGGTGGAGAAATTAACAGGCCTGGGTTCAAGCTCCAGATCAGGGAGACACTGATGGAGGAATAGTTAATTAAAGGCTGAATGCTAAAAGATACGAGAAAGGCATTGATGGTGGAAGAATTATCAGAGCTGTAGATTACAGGTCAGACTAGAGCAATACTGATAGGGTTGAAATTTGGTCCAAAGGTAGTAGAAATGTTATTACAGGAGCCTGGATTTTAGATTTTGACAAGAGAGTCATTGATGGTTGGTCAGATAACAAATGACCAAATTCAAGGTCCTACCATTTGAGCAGTGGTGGTGGAAGAGTTAATGGAAGCCAGCAATTTGAGCTCTCTTGTCTAGACCAAGTCTGAGGGGTTTTAGATAGATGGTACAGCTGTCCAATGGCTGTGTACGAAAGGTGGGATCTAGTTTCTGGTGGCCAATGGGATGAAGCAGCAGCCTGTTACTAGGGAGAAGCCCCTGTTGCTATGTGCAGAGTGAAAGAGGCAGGGTCTAGCCTGAGTTGCTACAGACAAATAGTTAGCCAATGACTGCAGAAATTGGGCTTTAGCTTCTTCAGCCTATAGTAAACTGATGCTAGGTAGTAACCCCCACGGCCATGTGAAAGAAGGCAGCCAAAGTGGCACCTGAGAGGCTGTAGACAAAAGGCACAGTTAACCAATGGCTGAGTAAGAATGGGGCTCTGGCCTCCCTAGGTATATGAGGCTTCCTGGTCTGTAAATCAGTGAGGTCCTCATTGTCCAGTGCAGGGAGGGGGCAGTGCATAGCCTTCGGGGGTGCAGATAGATGACACAGCTGTGTGAGGGAAGTAGAAGTGGGTGGGAGCAAAGGCTTGAGGTTGCTTTGGGCAGGTGGTGCAGCTGGCCAATGACTCTGTGTGGGAGGCAGAATTTAGCCTCCCTGACTAATGAAATGTGAACATCTGTTACTATGTAGAAATAACTTTGCTGTTCCAAATTGTATGTATATGTATAGCTGATTCACTTTGTTATAAAGCAGAAACTAACACACCATTGTAAAGCAATTATACTCCAATAAAGGTGTTAAAAAAAAGAATGAAACTTCTTACTCCTGCCTGGAGAATCTAAATCACTTTGACACAGAGCAACAGCCTGGGGATTACCCTGGTGGTCCAGCGGTTAGGACTTGGTGCTTTCACTGCCGTGTCCCGGGTTCAATACCTGGTCAGGGAACTAAGATCCTGCAAGCTGCTCAACGTGGCCAAAAAATCAAACTA